AAAAATAGTAAAAAATGATTTTATTTTTGCCTTTAATTATAGATGGATATAAGAAGGGGTACATGTTGTTTTAAAATAGTAAAATACTATATATTTTGAAGGTACATACATTAGGAGGTTAAAAATAAATTATTTATAACTTTGATTTATTTAATGATTTACCAAAGACAGTCTTATCTATTAGCATTACATTTGTTATATAATAAGAAATCATATTTACTTATTTGTTTAGGTACTTATGGATTATGAAATAATATAAATATTTATTAAATAATTGTTACGTTAAAAAAATGAAAACAAATAGAGAAATTCTAGAGTGGTTGAGTAGATGCAAATGTGGAAAATTGGAACTGAAGAAACATTTAAATACTATAGAGCAAATAAAAGTATTATTCATTTAAAATTTGATAAAAAGTTAGACACGATGATGAGTAGTCAAAAAGTATAGACTTTGAAATCTGTTTCATCTTCTAAGATAAATCCGGATTGCTAGACTGCTGAATCAGTTTATGAAGATAAAAGACAACATAGTTTAACATAACATGGCGCTTATTCTGAGGATTAAGATTACAGATTTTTTATTAGTAAAAATAACTATTACGACACTCATCAAAATTAGAATTAGCGATCCATTAAAAAACCAATATTACAGGACTTTTCTGGTAAACAGGATTCTGATACTATTGATGATATATTTAAATTGTCTTTGACAGATTAATCCATGTCTTAATAGTAGTTTTGTTCCAATAAAGATTTCTACGAATCCATAAAATAGAAGCAATAATACGGAATAAATAATAACAACACTTAAATCTATTACAATACTCAACAGAGCACTAAGAATTTTGAAGCCTACTAAGAAGTTTGCTTAAAAACTTCACTGTGTCAATTGGACAAAAGAATATAAGAAATTTAGCAATAGGAGATTTAAAAGAGTTACCAAAATGAAAATAAGACTTTTGACTAATATTATTAGGAATATGTCACTGATGAAATATCTAATATATAACATGAAATTTAGGAAATGCAAAAGTATAAATTTTAAGAAAATATGTTTACAGATTTTTAAAAAGAATATAAACTGCAAAAGACAAGTTGACCAGCAGTGTCTAAGATTTAAGTTATCAAAATAGTTAAAGATCCCTGCAAAAATTGAATCAAGACTTGGATATAATGTAAACTTTAAGAAATAATATGCAAAATTAATTACAAAACAATGTAGATGGTGATAAATTGTTACGATTGAGATTGATGAAATAATAGATCTAGGAATGCTTTAATGATATAGAAGAAGAGATAATTAAGTTAAGTAAATGATATCCGTTTTACCTTTATTATTTATATTTTAAAAATTTTAATGAAAATAGTTCTGATAACTCTACTCCTTGGCTTAACATTTTCTTAAAATTAGGCATTAAATGAAATTTCAGAGAATCCCATTCCTACATTAGTTTATGAAACAAAAAACGAAGAATCCTAATAAATTTAATAACATCAATAATTATAAGGATATATCGATATTGATGGTCATTTTGTATCAAACTAAGCTGATAATACTTAAAATACTAAATCTGAGCCTGCTGTCTAAACCAATTAGGAAGAAACTCAAAATAGCTAAGTGACTATAAGTGATGATTCTAACAATTTGTAAGCTACTACCTAGGAAGGAGCACAATAATTAGTTTCAACCGATGCAGAAATTGATCCAATGTTCGATATGGAGAACTCAATGCCTTATGAATTCCCAGAAGATACATAAGTTTAAGAAGAGTCAAAAGATTAAGACGGTGATAATCATTATTTGTCAGCCAGTTTAGAATTGTAAGTATTTACTATTTAAACTTAAGACCTATTCGAAATGAAAACTAAGTTTATGATTCATTAGGAAATTAAATCGATTCTTACGATGGAATGAGAACATACTTGTAAATCATTTTATAAATTTAGAGCGCTTGATATTGCAGAATAGGATGACAATTAAGCCAACATCAGTGTGTAAGAAAAATAAGAAGATTGTATTGTGATCTATTCAAAATGCGATTTCTAAGGAGAAAGCTTACCAATTTGTGAGTCTTTGAAGGAAGTTGAGTAAAATTAAGCCAAAATTTTAGGGATTTCTAATATGATATCAAGTCCATCTATTTACCTGAA